AACTATAATTCTCTTTCAATATTATTAAATTATAAAATAACTGTTATCATGTGTTTAATGTGTTTAAAAATTTACAATATAAAATCTTTGATTTTGGAGTCCTATTATCTTTAATATTATTTGCAATATGAACATTAAAAAATAGATAATATTATCGTTATTCGTTTAATTTAACATTTGTAATAAGTAAAATCAGAATAGAAGTTATTAGAGATATTAAATACGCACAGATTCTAAGATCAATTTGAACAAAATTGAACTGTATTTTATATCTTTAAGATTATTTAAAAAAATTATATTTGATTTTTAGGAATTATTTCTGTATAATCTTTTTTAGTGTCGAATAATTTATGAAATCAATTAAGTGATGAATCAATTTGCTTGAAAATTCTATTATTATTTTCATGCACTGTAAAGTTATAAGAGTTTCTGGACAGCTGTATGTTCCCTATGGGTTGGAACAATGTACTTTACCGCAAAATGCCATTCATCGTGTCTGTGACCAAAGCAGGCTGTGTGCATGGCAAACTTTGTGCTAAACCCTAAAACTACACCGCACCCCTCGATATTTGTTCCTACATCCTTGCCGACTTATCGCACTGGTTTCGCTATAGAACTTTCGCACAATTTATTCTCAGAAATTCTCACATTAAAGCATTTTACTGACGAATATTGTTATATTTGTTCTATTGTCAACTGCTAAATGTGAATGGAATTATATAATCGAGTCACAGCTTATTTTCCTAAATGTTATTTAATTAATCTAAATTGAGTAAAAACGGTTAAAATTATGAAATTGCGAAATTACTGAAATATATATATAAAAGGTATTAAATATTACTTTTAATTTATAGTTTTAGTTTTACTTATAATAAAAAAAAATAAAAATGTATTTTTTTTTTTAATATAAAGTCTGAAAAAATATATTTCAAGAGATGTTTAAAACTCTTTATTCTAAAATAACTATTATTATTTTTTTAACGGGAGTTCTACTGTATTCTTAGAGGACTTTCGAAGAAGAGGGAATTGATAAGAACTTTATATTAAAACATCGCACAATTCTTTCCAAACTCCGTTATTTAGCAGACTATATGTTTTCTCCTTAAAATAGAGCATCCATTTCTTATGAAAAGAACGCTCTTGTTGATTAAGGGATAGGACCTAGCTTAATGCTAGTTTTATATGGTACTTTATTGCGTGTAATGCTTCATTGCACGTGTTCTGTTGCAGCTAAGACTTACAGTCAGTGCATAGAATCTCTTCAGTTTTAGTAATCGTTGCCTCTTCAACTTTTTTTCACGAAACTCATGAAAATGTCTGAGAAAAGAAAGTTGCAACTTCTTGACGATTGTCGTGACGAAATGTTGAAAAAACTGTTATGAATGTAGAGAAATAAAAATGATGCTCATTTAAAAAAGAAGAAAGCTTTAGTGTATGTAGGTCAAGCATTCCCTGATTATTATAAAAATTTTATCCAAGCGGTATTTAAATCAACTAATGCATTTTAACATTTTTATTACATAAACATATATTAACACACTTTATGCTTTAATATATATTTACGTTTCAATATAATTAAATATACGTTATAATATATTAAAACACAAAAAGTATAAAAATATTATGTGTTATACATATTATGTAAAACTGTCATTATTTTTGTATATAAAAACTGTTGTATACTTGTAGTACATTATTATATACGTATTATGTAAGATATTTATTTTAAAAGAGATAAATGTTAGGAATGTATAAGCCTCATAAAATATTTCTCTTCTTTTATGACAGATCACATAGGCCGGTATTCATAGTCGGTTCTTATTTCAAGACTGCCTTAAGTAATGTCTTAAGATGCTAAAGCGGCCCTCTGATTGGTTCGTAACTCCTCAAGATTGAACTTAAGACGGTCTTGAATATAAAAATTGATTATGAATACCGGCCATAGACAGAACTTGTAAGAAGTTTTAAATATATTAACGATTTTTTATATTCTATATATATTAAATTTCTTAAGATCTAAATTTCCAGAAAACATTCACATTATCTTGTTTAATTTTAATAAAAAATTATTTTTATATATAAATTGTTTTATTTCTCATAAAATAGAACAAAGCTTTAAAAACGTATTCTGGTTCTGCATGATTTCAACATTTCTGCATTTCGCGTTCTGCAGTCCTAGGGTTTCCTGAAGTATTCCAATATGCAGTGCTTTTTGTGATGATAAAGGTTACTACAATAAATGAGGATTTCCAGAGATAGCAATTTATATGTATATGTATTGTGTGTGTGCGTGCGTGCGTGCGTATGTTATGTATATGATGATACTTTTAAAAAAGTTTTAAGTAATAACATAGTAAAAACAATTGGAAGTTGATATTAAAATGATTACACAAATCAGAATACACAAACTTTATCATTACAAAATTTCGTAATGATAAAAATTTGTATAATTAACTGTTAGAAGAAAGTCGCCAATACAGTTGTATATTATTTTGCTTTTGAACTACATTCCTTAAACAAAAGCTAGAAATAAAACTTTGGAAACAAATACAAGTAAGAGAGAGAAAGTATCTTTTGTCAATAATATATTGATATAGTAGAAGTAATATATTGATATAGTAGATATATTGATATAATAGAAGTTCTCTTCTCTGTAATAATACTGTTAAAATTTTGTAATAATTAATTTTTTTTGTAAGATAAGTAATAATAACCGTCTGAAATTGGTTACAAATCTTTTTCTTTTACAGGAAACATTTGTGTAAAATATCTACAAGTTAATGTATATAAAAATTTCGAGAATTCTTTCACTTTGATATAAAATATTTTTGTTTTTTTATACATTGTGCATTATACTTTATGCTGTTTCGCACAATGCAAACATGAAATGCGAACATTTTTTTAAGAGAATTTTCCCGTAAATACAGGAACGCTTTCAACCCCAATAAAGCTATTTATTTAACACAATAACGCTAAAATATTACATAAAAAATCAAATTAATTTAGTTTGCTTTACAGACAGGTGTGTCAATTTACGCTGCACTCCAATTTTATATTTAAAACCGTATCATAAGAAAAATAAGACAGAAAAAAATTTAATAAAACTGTTTAGGAATATGTAAAACAATCTAATATTATCAATAATATATATTCACTATTATTTTAACTTTGCAAATGAAGATCGTTAAGAATTTTATTTTTGAATTTGTAAAATTCGCTGATTTTTAGCTGATTTTTAACAAAAACAATAAATACACAAATATATAGACTTCTTCTTTTTTAATTATCAAAATAAATAATGTTTTTATCAATATTAATAAAGTAAATAATAGTAATATAAAATGTAGTATTTATATAAAATGTAATGTTTAATTTGCGAGAAATAAATGTCTCTTAGGAGATCTATGTCAGTATCGTTGACTTTCCTCCTATACAATTTTTATGCGGACAATTGTAGCGTCCATTTTATACTCATACGTATTATTAGTCAATGTATTGAAAATAACAAAGACAGCTTTTGTTCTGTCACAAAGTGAATTATCTTTGTGTATGCATACCTTCTTTAGAACCGGTATTGCTTTATTATACCTATGTTATATAACCGACTCACGTCATGTCGGCCGACTTTACATAATGAAATCGAGGTGGTTTCAGCACATAATAAATTTATCTAATAACGCCGGTTATTTTCAATCAATAAAAGTAATATTCAAATAGGCGAACAAAAATTACATCATAATTGTAGTTCGAAAATAAAGTTACAAAAATATATAATGGCGCATAAGTTACACACTTGCAGCGAATTTTACGCGTAGCGTAGTATAAAGATATAATTAAACTCATTAAACGCGTATGCGCATTGATTTCTCTTTTTTTATTATTCATGTACGTTATCACTTCAAGGTCATTGATTTTTTTGCGAAGAAAACAAAAAAGGCTACTTTATGGCTCCATTAAATCGCTCGCGCTTCGTTTAAGCGTTGCGATTATCTTTCTTTCCGTCGTTACCGCCATCGCCTACGGGAGAATAAAACACAAGAAAATGATAAAGAAAGAGGAAGAGAGAAAGACAGAGAGAGAACGGAATTCTTGACGTGTAATTACTTGCGTGCTCTTTACGCGCATCTCCACATTTGACACAACTTTCTCAATCCTTGTCCACCAGGCTTTTAGCTATTCTCTGCTCTGAAATATGATACTTAGGGATTTATGTAGTAGATCTTTTTTTCCTGGCAAATAATACTATCGTTACGGAATTTCCGTGTAAAATTGCGCCACCAAGTCGGAGTAAACTCTTTAACTTTATCGAGGAACTTATTTGAACGATCATTATTTGTGATACGGCGATTGCAACATTTTAATCCCCGTCATACGGCCGATCGTAAGTCCTTACAGCAATTCCCTTAATAGACATATCATAGTACGCGAGTTATATTAGTCGCGTACATTATTTATGGAGCTGCAGTAGCGGTCGATAAATTCGCTTTTTTATTATTAAAAGCATACGCTTTGAAAAATATTCGCGAAACTTACGCGTGACCATAATTTCAGAATTGAGGAAGACGACAAGCGCATGCGATCGATGATCTTTTAATCGCGCGTTAGTTGAGGCGTAACAACCGTTCGCGGCTACGTGATTCATGATAAGGGAAGAAGATAAACAAGCTCGGGCGAAACTTAAACGGATTTTGAAGTCGCTCAGGGAAGATTTAATGCCATACTAAACCAAAATGTCGAAATTGTACGCGCAATAGGCGAAAGTGCAAACGAATGTCGCCGTTGCTGTGTCACGACAGAACCCTTTCCGCTAGCGATGAAAACGCGAACCAGAGATACGTAACCGATATATCAAACGTAGTCGAGCGCGGTCTCTGAATAATGCATGAGGGCGAGCAATGCGCGAACGGAGAGGCACATTTTCAGCACCACTGACGTTCTCTTTTTTCTGTATTCTACGAGATGAACGCCGTCCTGTTTCTCATTTTTGCCCTCCAAACGCAATGCGACATTTTCCATATAAATCCATTCAAATAGCAGGTACATACATAAGAGATTCTTTCATTACGACGCATTTTCAATTTTTTAGAGATAAATGTTTTTCATAAATATACTGAAGTAATAAAGAAAGCAGGCTCTAAAATTAAATTTCTTTTAGTTATGAAGTTGAACTTTTTTCAAATTTATGATTCGCGGATCAGATTTCAAGATAGAATTTTACTTGTAACTTTAAATTTACTTTAATTTATAATGTATAATAATATTTATATATATATGCGCATTCTGATTCTCAAATACTTTTTGTATATGTGGCACATAAAATTATAAAAATATATTTATCCTGAATTTGAAGTAAATAATTAATTGTTTTAAAAATAAATTTAAGATCAAACTAAGAAATTGATTTATTTTAATTATAATGTATTATTTTTCATAAACAAATCTATTTTAAATTATAGGCCGTCACAACAGAGAATATCTCATTGTGGAGGGAAACGATCGACCCAAAAGGCATCGGCATGTTACGATCTCGCCAAGCAAACACAGCGATGCCGATGGAAGCGGTATGTTCACGTATATTATAATATTATATTATATATAGAGTAAGAAAGGAGGTTATAGAATACCATTTTGCTTTATTGAAACGACCCAGTAGATATTCGTGTGACATAACTACCTTTGATACAAGTTAACCATAGAGGGATACCAATTATACTACAAATAGAAGCTCTCTGAATATGCAGAATGAACGTAATGTACAAACTGAAGAGGGACGATGGTTGTAGTTATGAAATGAAAGGAGGCTATGGAATTTATCATCAACTAACATATAATACAACTTCACACGGAAATATAAACACGTTCTGTTACCAAAAATTCAATTATATTATTTACGGATGTATTGCATCTATTTATAAATGTGTTAATATTTATACTTTAATTAAACTGTTATTAATTATATATTTAATTAAACTTTTATTAAAGATATGTTCATAACATTCTCAAAAAATAAAATTTTATTTACTTCCATAGAGCCTGTTTTGTTAATTTGTTTTACAATATTTTATTTCTATATTGACATTTTTTATTGTTTATTTACTTTTTATTTGTTATTACCTTTTTATAAACTAAAATGTAAAAATAATGACAAAAGTTTTAATTTTTTATAAATACTTTAAGTATTCAAAATGTTTTATACTTCGTAACTTATTATAGTTACAAAGATTTAGAAGAAATAAATATTTTGTTTATTTACAAAATAATAATTAATCTCTGCGTTGTGATGTAACTTTCTATAAAACATTTTGAATATTTAAAATGTATATATAGAAAAATTGAGATTACTGTCATTATTTTATTATTTTTCATATAATTCTATTTTATCAGCGAACAAATAAAAAAAATATTACTTTTTATTGAAATAACTTTAATCTGAACGGTAAATTGTTGCTAAATTTTTTATATTACTTTTTTTGACCTAAAAAATCGGTAATTTTTTCGTAACTTTTTCATTATTTTGAAAATAATAAAGTGTAATATATATTCTTGAAATTTAAAGCCTCTAGATTATAAAATTGATACTAACTTCTAAAAACTATGTAAACGTAAAGAGTAGTCACCTGCAAAATTGTCTACCTGTAAAACTAAAATGCAATTTTTACGACAATGCAGTAAACACTTACGATCAGTGACTCATATTGTAACGCCTAAGCATACTATGAAAAAGTCATTTTGATAGTATAGCTTTTAGAATGCATCGTAAACTATGCAAAATGGTATTCCATAACTTTTTGCGTAATTATAACTGCCTTCTCTTCCTCACGAAAGGAAAGATAATAACAGACGATAAAACCTTAATTAAAAAGTTTTGATTACTATTGTGATTAATATTTAATTATGACGGTTGGATGATTAATGAGACGAATTAAAACTGTTTAACTGTTGAATATTTGTTCATAGGTGACGTGACAAAAATTGAAGTGGAGCTTAAGGAAGCACCAGATGCTGTCATCGTCGGCTCTATGTCATCGGAATTGGAAGCCACCACCGAGCTCAATTCGACCTTTCCCAATGGTAAGTCTAATAATTTCATATAATCTCGGGGAAGTAATCTTGTATATGTAACCCTCGTATATTTCTGATCATGTTTCATGATATTTTTCCGACCAGTCTTATTAGGCAAGATATTCTTTTTAACTGTCTTCCTTGTTCTCCTTTCTTAATAAGAATTGATAGTTTCCGAAGTCTTCTTAGCTTTTCTTCTATATTACCGGAAAAATAAGCTTATTTGGATTTTTGATGAAACATTTACGAAAAGTAACATATAATCGCTATGTTGAAATTTAATAAAATTTTGGCACGGATTTCAATCTCTGATCGATATCGCTATACTCCAAACAACAGAAAAGAAGCATAACTGGAACTAAAAGTTTGATGAGATCTCTGAAACATTCATCATAAATAATGTTTCAATTTGGGAAAACCCCGAGAGCTCGATTCTTCGTACACCGTTTGTTTGTGTGAATTTTTGACGCGACTTCTCCTTGTTTTGTGGTAACAAACGAAAAGAAATGATTCGTGGAGTAATTGAGTTTTCCAATGTTTACCTTTCGAGTTTTCGTTCTGCACGTCAATTCAATTTTATTTTCATCAATCAACGAAGCGTTCAAAAGATCGTTTCATATCTCACGATATTTCCACGAAATCTACATTCACGACGAAGTAACGCGATGGTTCCACGATAAACGTAGATATATTTCCTTAATGAGTAAATAATCCATTATTGCAAAATATGCAGGTTTTTCGACACATATTGTATCTTCGCTAATTCAAGTTTAAGCACGTGGCTGCTATTTATTTTGGTTTTACATGAAACTACGTAAATGGACATATTTATTTTTGACGACACTCCAGAGATTTCACGGAGAATTGGTAACAGAAGGTCGATCACGTAATTTTTCTCGGGGAATAGAAATATGGAAAAGTAAAATTTCACATAAATTTATGATCAATATCATACTTGTGATCAAATTCGTAAACCACTTAGGAATCTTAGGATACGTTCTAACATATGTACTACAATAAAAAGGAATATCGAAAACTTTGTAATATGTTTGCACTTTCGCAGTTATGTAAATTAAATTTCAATTCTTTGAATATGTAAGTTTGAAAATGAATGAAAAAAAAATCTTGTCGCTCGGGGACACAAAGGAGATTTAAAGCAGATATAAATTATGTATAGAATGTCGTCTCGAACTATGTATACTCTACATACATCACGGATGCCAGAAAGGAGTATGCGAGCATTGTACAATATAATGGAATATGTCTACTCCTTTTTCTCCGTTTGATTTTCTACATGATAGCCGGCGAAGTAAAGTTCTCTCCGCGGACCCGTTTCGACCGCATAGGACAGTGGATATCAATTTATCAGTTCGATCGTTTGCCATACGAACGTAGTATGAAACATCGTTAGACGGCATTATACGACCACCAACAAAGGTTTACGTATGACTGAACATCGAATTGTACCCATGAGCGATATTTCCTGAGTTTATTTTCTCTCTCGCAGTCAGCCAGACATGTTCGTGTATAAGTTGGCTCGTAGATCAAAGGATGCACACGAGAAATTAGGTCACATTATCGTGGTCTCTCGTTGGATTAACTTTAATCTTTATACTAATTTATATTAATAAGAGTATAATGCTCACGCTGCGCATTCATTAAACACACTATAATCTTTCAATATAAATTCAGTATAAATTCCTTCGTTGTTTAATTGTATAGTTTTTATATACTTTATCGCAAGAAACAAGAGAGGATTTAATCAGGGATTGCAGAAACGGGCGCGGTAGTAGTACGAGCCGAGGAGGTCCTGATTGTCGTTCTTGTCCTGGTCCTATGGGTGGCTGCCATCGCTCTGTTTTTCAATCGATGGGGCAAGATCCGCATGCTCGAGCCGTACCAGCCAAAATTTCAGCAACAACACAGACAAAGCTGTACCATGGTCGATCCAAGCCCACTCCAGGTAAGTGCGTTTGTGCTGCGGTCGCTCTTCTCTCCACGTGTACTCTCTTATTCCGCAAGGGTAGCATATTCTGAATGTTTATACAGTAGTTTGAACACACCAAATTGCATCGTCGGATTAGCATAATGGACACAATTCGTGTAAATGTGTATAGCGCAAGCAGCCTTGGTGTGTCGGACTATATTCTACATGTCGCTGCGAGCGATTATGTATCTGTATATGTATCTAGAGATGCTAACGATAACTTGCGACTAATGGATAATCGGATAAGAGCAAATTGGTTTCCATTTATAATTTGAATTCTAATTTAAGACATTGATTGCATTATTCGGTAAAATTTACTAATTATGGAAATAGAATTTATTTTAGCTAAAAATTGTATGATTATTATGCGATTGATTTAATATCTCCCTTCAAATATTATGATTTTAATTCAAATAATTCTGTGCAACGTATCGGTTGTATTTAATTTAATTAAATAATTTTCGAAGTTTCTTCGTGGCGCGTACATTAGGTAAATGAGTTATGCGGAATACAAATATCGTAGTTAGCAGAATGAAAATTTAATTTTCCCGATATATTCATGTAGTGATGTAGAGATTCTGATTATTTTCCATTTAATTACCAAAATAACGACGAACATTGTGGAACTATAACACATAGTTGGAGGGCAAACTAGGTATGTTAAACCACCGTTAAAGGAGATTAGCAAACTCATAAGACCAGTGTAATAACTACCGTAAACCTATCCAAGATACGTACCAGTTAAACATCAAATATTCTAAAACGTATTGTTATATATATATATATATACACACATATATATTAAAGAAAAAGTAAATGACAAGTTCTTGAAACGTTCAGTTTAGAAATAAAGCTTATCAATTTTTTTTAAGTACGAAGTATATTATCTCTTTTTCAAAATGCAATTTACAATCTAATAAATACATACATATGCGATGGTTCGTATATTATGATATAAACAAGCAATAACTGGGACGTGACGTTGTTGGCACGAACTAAGCGAGAAATAACATACATGTAATATTTCCCTTACGCTACACGAGTCACGTAGACGTAAATCTTGCTTCTACATCTGGATTCTACGTGTACGATTATAAATTTATTCATATCTCTTATTGGATCCTTATGATCAACTTCAGTTTCAGTGCCATTCTTACGAATCGAGTCAGGAGTGTCGCAGAACAATGTTTAAGTTAGTTCTACGTTGCGCAAAAACGACATATAAAACGAATATTAATCATAAAAATTGATTTATAAAGAAATTAGAATTCATTAAAACTCTTATTATTTATTTCTCAATGATATTTTATCGGAAGGATGTTAAATAAATTTTTGGACAAAGAGATGTCGATCAGCGGTCGTGAATCGAGAGAATGCATATATCCAATAAGTCAGATCGTCGATATCTCCATTCATTCCATATTCCAATTGCGAGCTTTGGAAGTTCCTAAATCTTGTAGTAGCCATTAAACTGCCAAACGCATTTATGTCAGTTTATTTATCATTCATAGATGAATGCAAAATAAACGAGAGGATTTACTACTGCGTATTTGTTACAAATTGACTCTCAAATGGTTTCCCGTCGGAACGGGCGCTTCTCATCGTAGTCCGATAACATATATGTTTCGTAACCGGCTTCAGTCCAGATGACTTGTGACCATGTATATTTTAAGATTTTGTTACACAAAGTATGTGTAAACAACGTGTGAAGCAATTTATCAGAATGTTCTGAGATGTTAGTCTTAAGACGTAAATGTAAGGTAAGGTAAAGCTTATAATCTAAAGACTAACAGTCTCTACAACTTAAGTTATAAATTTTTCTCTGCCTTATCCTGTATCCACGTTTAAGACAAACTAAGCGAGTACATCTCGTTCTCTGCCATCAGCTAAATTAGCCTAATTACTTATTATAATTAGTCTAATTAGTTACAGACAGTTTAATGGATATCCACATTTGGTGGGCGGCATATAAAATCTAGATTGGACTGCTTTAATTACGCTTCGATTTTTGAATCGGTTTCAAAGCAAAAATACACACGATGTTCTTTAATCAAATATATCTGCTTACTCCATAATGAAAACACATAAATAAAATCCAGATTGGAACAAGAGAATTTGTTGCGCTCATCTTTCATTTAGGTATATTGGAATTAAGCTATTTTGTTTTATAACTCTATAGGGAGAGATTTTAGATAACAAACATGCATGTACCGTATTTGTGTGATAATTTTTTTTACGATATTACTGCATTGACGTGTGTGCTTTATTATTCATGCGGTTTAGAAAACAAATTTTCCGAGCGAATAACGCATTGCGTCTGGAATCGACCTTTATAGGGGCATAGAATGCGTCAAATATTTCGCGATGTCAGTTGCATATATTGGTATTGGATTTGCTGGTATAAAGGAATACAAATCACGACACGAATGGGATACGTGTGCTCCAAATAGATGCTCAACAACAAAATTCACAAACCCGATCATCTCGTCGGGCTGTATACCATATATTGGCCAACGTTTTTACGAATCCTCTATATATAGCCATACTTTCATTTATTTCGTGCAAAACTTTGCTGCTCAATATTGACATTGTATTTTTTTTATCGCATCAATTAATCACTCTGGCGCATAAAAGCGGCAAAATGATCCCGGGTTCGTTTGTGTTCGATATAAAAGGTATATTAAATGTTTTTGTTATAACGGTAGATTTTTGTTTCTACATATGTATACATATGGATAGAACAATGTATGTGAACGAGATGTTACACGGACGTACGTTTCGCATCCGTGAGTTTCGAGCAATTACTTTTAGATAGGAATCACCGTTCGCCAATATGTATTTCAGCGTCCATGGTAATTCAATCGCGGAAACGTTCGATTGCACTGGCGTTTACTATGTCAGAAGCATGTCGACCTCGATTCTATCAAATCGGTCAAATCGCGTATCTTAAAATTGCTGACTACGGTCTGCAGATGTCTCAGTAAAGTTGACTAGAAGCTATTTTTTTTATTTGGATATGCACGGTTGAATCAAAATATAAATGTCCTAACGACATAAAACACGATGAATATACCTACAATATGTCTAATTATAGAACTATAATTTGAAATACGAATAATAATAGGCTTAATAAGCTTATAATGATGTAAATTAATTTGTATTTCTAACGTGACGCGAGAGAAATTGGAGACAGTTGCTCATCGGTGATACACATAGATGAAGGTTCTTTATTTGATGAAACTAAATGAAAACTTTTCTCAAGATACTTCACGTAATTCTATTTAAACGTCCTGACTCGCAAACCATCCTGGTCCGCAAACTATCATTTTGAATGTCCTTGATAAGTGGGACTTCGTTCCGATCTTACAAGAGATACTCGAATCATCGAATGCTGGATCGTCGATCTCGGGACGAGTTTACTGAAGTCCAGTTTACTGTAGGATTCTCAGGTATACCTGATTGAAGTGAGTCCCGCGAGAATTTTCAATATTCGATTGAATATCCTAAGAGGAAGATCGATCGTCTATTTGCACTATACGATGCGATTGGATTTACTATTGTTCTCTAAATTGTTTGAGTGAGTACTTGGTGAGCTTTCAGAGGATTACAACATGCGGTTAGTGGCTCTAGAGCCTCTAGAGGGAAGTTTATGTCGCGCACACAGTCTGGCATATTAACACCATTGCCGACTGCCTATCATGCATATTCCAACTCTGTACAAACGAATATCTTTCCACTGATTAAGTAGGTTCCTGAATATATCCATAAATCTACAGATTTTTGATCTACATATTCGAGTGTTTATCCATAAATCCATATATTCATAAATTTTTCAATTGGTAATTTACATTTTCATATCTAACTGAGGAAGTCAAAATTATTTTCTATTTGTACAATAAGTTAACATATATATTATTAACTGACGTATATCTTCTGGATCTAAATATTAAATTCATATTGTAACAATATTTTGTGACGGCGAGGTCTGCAATTTATACGAGGTGTTACGATTATGCTAATGCTTGCGAATAACGGCATGATATTACATGCAATATTCAAGACAGCATCTGTATAATGAAGCGGTATGCACATGTCTGCGTATGGAACCTGTAATTTGTCATTCTAAGTACGCGAGTGTGCGCTGTGCGTAGTTTCATCGTTCCATTAAAGCCTTAAAGTAATATCGTACATATTACACGCGTTTCCGTTTAGAAGATATTATCCCGTCATGTTTCTGATATGTGTATACGCGTACCCAGATCCGTAATCCTCTGAAGTCGCGTTAACCAATATCGCTGTCCCGTTCAATTTTCATGATTGATGAGTAAGCTACGGAGAATAAGCTATTGAAGGGAGCTTGCAGCGACTTTCAATTATACGAATAAATTAATTTCACTGGAATATTTTCCCATTAAATAACTGATATAGTAATACAATATTTGTTAAAGTGGGATAATGAAGTATATTGTTTACATGATATAATCAGATACGTAAAATATTTTGTTTGGTCGTGCTGCGATAATGCTGTGCAATAATTCCATAATTTCCTAATCATCATCAGCAGTATTCTGTTTGTCTATACGTCAATTCTATAGACAGCAAAATAATCGAAAATCACGTGCAAATGATGATGAACGGCTCGTCGGGGTCAGATAAATTGTCGAAGATATTTAGCGAATTTCGATGTGTGCTCGGGGCACTTCATTGTGATTGGACAACCCATACACACTCAAACGTTGAACATTCCCTGATAATTAGGATCGTGGGAATTCATTCCAAGTATCTCCAATCCAGTATAATTCAGGATCTGAGTAATTAGTAATTAGTTTCGCAATTTCTCTCTCTTTCTCGTTTCGTTACAAACGCGCACGGTTCTACCATACAAGAAAAATTGTAACCTTTTCGTCGTTTAAAAAATTATAGAATAAAAAATCTCGTTTTACTATGACCCTCGTTTACCTGCGCTATGACATTTTATTGGTACAGTTGATTCTGTTTGTCTAATACGCTTCGCGTTGAGTCACTCGTGAGGATCGCGAAGAACCGTAAATTGAGCGCAGCATGGGTGGAGTACGCTTCTCCATCCTCTTTTGCATAATACATGTAAATGCAACGTCATCCCTTTCAGCGAACTCGCGACACCCGTAATCTCCGAAGATGCAGCACCCGCTGCGTCTTATAAAATCCATCGCGATAGCAAGTAGCAACCTACGTCGAGCGTCTAGGATATTCTCGCAATGAAAATCGCGAACAGTGCGAACATGTGTGTCGCACAAAAGTTCTCCATTGCTTTTCAGCTACATAGTTTAGCGAGCTACCGGTGGCGCGCTATCATAAACCAGGACTCTTAAAATGTCCTATTTACGTCGCACGAGAAAATCTTATAACGCAATCTCTCCCCCTGGTTATAATAGAATTCAACAGAATGGTGTTATAACCCGATTTTGGCCTTGCGCGAAGAAACTTCGATCGCGTTGGCAAACTTCATTTACGAAGGAACAATATTACTTCCGTTAGCCACGAGGCTTTTATAAAACAAATTCCTCTCGTTATCACAACAATACTGCCACGACCATTAAACCGCCATCGCGTCTACTAGAAAATCATGTCAACGTGTCCGACATACACATGTGTCTCCGTATATCAAGTCACGTCCGCCCAACACACCTTCACCGACAGACGACCAGTCACGTATCTTGTTATATATCCCTGGTCCAAATGTTTCTTTAGGAACATCATCATAGTTAGCCTATTATTTATTTTGGCTACGACTGTATATACACGGAAAGAACGATTTTGCTAATGTATCTGAAAATTTAGCTGAGTATCGGATCTGAAAATAATTGTGTTGGAGATTAAAAATAATCATGTAGAACGCTCAAGCATAATCGGTAATTCAGCAAAAAGCTTTGACATTCTTATAACCAGCTTGAGCGTCCTACATAATTTTAATAATCTAATAAAATTATTTCAGATCTGTATTCAATTAAATTTTTAAATAGCACAACTTTAGCACAACTGTTCTTTTTTTTGGTATGCAAATTATATATTATGTGAGATCATAAGTTCGTTCAGTTTTTTGTGCAAAATTTGAACGCAAAATGTTAGAAATATTTTTAATCGCACACTATTTTGTCCGTTTCATTCTCTATAGATATGGAAAGGACGGATTTGCAGCTACATACATAATACCTACAAAGTTAGCTAAATATAAATCTGAAAATAATTTTGGAGTGTCAAAATAATAATGTAGAACGCTGAAACTTGTTAAAATATTAAAATATTTTGCAGCTTCATATTCTTCTGTAATTATTTGGATGGTCCAAATTATTTTCAGATTTGTATCTGTCTAAAACTTTCAGTTCTCAAATTTCAGCAAAATTATTTTTTCGTGTATCAACGAAAAATTAGACTTTTTGATTGGTAGAAACCTAATTCTGCACCTCATATTGTCTTATTACGTATTCAATGGGATAATGGAGATCTCTATGCAATATTCGATTCACAGCTAAACAGTCATTCGATATCATCCATCATTTAGGGTAAAAGCATATTACGAATATATATGTATAAGTCTCTCATCGATACCGGCTGTCCGTACTCATTAGTATCCAGCAAAATTCTTTCGTAACAATAAGTTTCATTATTCTTCTTTCGCAGAGTTGATATTAGTGATAAACATCTTCGAGATCAATTTCTCTTGCAACGAAATTTGGCAAAACATTTTTTTGGCATATGCATTCCATTCCTACACGGCACGTATCTTTTTTCTAAGTTCATCGTGTTCTTATACCTTTACGGAAAAAAAACACCGAAAAATATATTATTGTCTTCCATTTTCAAATTGTTGCTAAAATTCCCAACTATTGCTAACTATCGTGTATTGAAATCATCATTCAGAATATATAATATATGATATTTTATATGTTTGACAGCAATTAATGATTACAAAAGCATTTGAACACCGTCTACCAGTGAAAATGAACTTATAGTTTTACTTAATATATATATAATAGATACACATATATATATACATATATGGTATATATATATATATATATCACATGAGAGAAGAGTGTTCTATTTAAAAAAATCATAATTTTTAATATATTTAATATAAAATATAAATTTATATATATACGTATTTAATGGGTCTGATTTGATGTACATACATACATATAATACAATTACGTATCGTGTACACATGTGCGTATACATATGGCATATGTACATATACTTAACCGCTTAATTATAACGCCAATAATATACTTGATTGTCGAGGACATCTATCTCTGCATCATTCGTTTTTTAACCATTCAAGTTGTCATCAAAAGTCATGTTCAACGACTGTTACGTGTCGGCATATATTACAGCTGCGTATACATATTTTTAGCCGTATCGCATAAAATCGATAGGTACAAAGATGTCAACTTTGCGTCGCGTTGCACATTTGTCGTGGACTGCTGTTTTAAAAATAACTCGCTGCGCGGATATAATATCGTAACTAACTATATACTGTTGTAAACTAAGTTTCAATATCATAAGGCGATAAATAGACGTGTTAGGACTCGTCGGGATTTTCCTCTTGTTTGCAGCACCGGAATTCGAAGTTTAACATCTACTGCATGGAGCATCCGGTGCACCAGGTGAGCTGCGTCTCGGCCGCCGGGCCGGCTACCAGGCTGCGCCAGAACAGCGTGTTCGTGGGTTCGAGCATGTCGCTGCTGCCGGCCAGCCAGGAGACGCCCAGGCGAGCCAAGAGTGCGTTCGATCTGCAGTCGCTGGTGCACGCGGAAAGTATGGGAACGCAGAACGATGAGGAGGAAAGCGACGGTGACACGCTGAGGACCCTTAGGTCTATCGGTGAGACATCGCGACTGTTGCAGCGCGAGCGTCGACCCAGCACTTACCAGTTCGACCGCATGGACGTTCTGGCGAGGCCGACGTTGCAGCACGAGCGCGGTATGAGTATCTGTCACTTCGACAGGACAGACGTCCTGGCCAGACCGCTGCAGAGAGATCGCGGCATGAGCATCTGCCACTTCGACCGGATGGACGTCCTGGCCAGGCCAACATTGCAGCGCGACCGTGGCATGAGTATTTGTCACTTCGACCGGACGGACGTTCTAGCGAGACCGCTGCAACGCGATCGTGTCAACAGCATCTGTCACTTCGACAGAATGGACGTACTGGCGAGGCCCACGTTTCCGCCCGGCAAGTCTTTGTTACGGGAGAGACGCGTCAGCGTGTGCAATTTCCTGGAGAGGGACGAGGAATCGACGAGCAGCAGAAACATTTCACAAAAGGACAGACGGTTGAGCTTCAGTAATGTCGACAAAATCGAGACTCTTGGGAAATCATTATCGCGTAGAGACTTGCGCGGCAGCATCAGCAACGTGGTGGACAGCAAACAGGACAGCCTGGCGAAATCAAGCATGATCAAAGAGAGGAACAACTCCGTGCACTTTGATCGTCCATCCTGCAGTAAAACGTCCGACGTCGTGCTCGGATACAAAGCGACGTGCGTTTAATCGCGGCTTCTTCCAGGGCCTCCTGGAGAACGCGCGAGGGCGTCGACTCCGTGACGATGGTCCAGTCGCGGATCTACTTTGGACGAAATACGGCTGTGAAATCCTTTCGTAATCGCTTTCAATGCCACATTTATTCTTTATATTTCTTGTATTCTTTTATTGATTATTCTGAGAGATACCACAGCCTTGCGAGCACTGATCGCGCGTCCTTATTGAACCGTCAAAATACGATAAATAATCTCTATTTAAACGCGCCAGTTTCGAAATAACGGCTTTCCCTCATTTCCTCCTTCGCGCGATAAGCGCCCGACTTCGCTCGCTCGTTTTACAGATGAAAAACGATCTAGCCTCGGTCAAAGAAATATCTCGCACCTATTTTTCTGCGCTTGCAATATTAAGTGCACGTCGCGGGTGCTCTCCGGAAATTAAAGGCGCGTCGCGTGGACACGCAACAGGAGGACGTTGAAAAGCGTTTTTCATCGCGTTTTACCCTTTTCTCTTCCTTCTCCTGTTTGTTTTTTTCCCCGCCTTTTTGCCGCGGGCTAAATGTAATAATGAGACTGCCTCCTGCCGAGCGTCGATTGCATGAATGATACATGACGGGCATTTCAACGAATTCGCTCGGGGAAACGACGTTGAATTTCCATTCGTTACTCGACGATTCGTTAATGGTATATTCGAGAGTTTCGCTAGCCGAACAATGAAACTACAGACCGCGAACACAGCTACGCGAGTTTCCACAGGAGACCGTGATCGCGCGTTCGTAGATCGTTTCATTGCGATGATTTATTCGGTCATGGTCCAGAATTTTATTTAATATCCTTAATGGCGAGGTCTGATGAGCGAGCGAAGTATATAATCAGTCGGTGAAAGAATCGATCGATCAACTTTACTCACTCCTATCCAATTTTACTCTCCATCTTTCTCTTTCTATCTGTCTTTTTATCTCTCTTACTCTCGTAGCCATAATTAGAGAGACGTGGAGACTTTCCCTTCTCGTTCCTCTTTTTTCTCGAAATGTAATCTGTCGTAGGGAGCGAACCGTAGAAATTACTCTGTTCTTCGAAGAGACGAGGTCTCGTGTAGCATCTCCTCTACTCTTGTAGACGTACGTACGGGCTCTCGCAAATTGTCTGCACACACAAGGTAGTAAATCGGTTAGATGGAGTGTTCACCGGGCGCGCATGATCTTCTGATCAATAGAATCTGTCAATGCTATTAGCACGAGGAAGAACAGCACACGCTCTCAGGGATTATTATTTAAAATCTTTGTAAAACAAATAGGATGCGTTTACTTTGGTTGTTTTTATAAGTTCCATTTTATCTTTTTATCGCATGTAATGGGTAATAAAGATAGAATGAAGCTTATTTCACGTGAACATCTAAAGCAAACACATCTATAGTCTGTTGCTAATATAATAGAAAATCATCGAATACAAATTCATTTCCTGCGATTCAATTAAACAACGTTATAGAGCCTATTAATTTAGTTAATGTCGAATGGATTGTTGTTGAATGTGTCGGGCGGCTTGTTAATCGAGCTTTGCGGCTGTTGATGTATAAAATGCGAAACATAGTTCGCGTATTACGACCGTACGTTTACATTTAACGATCGCAACGGTCATTAAAGTTTCATTATTGCGTAATGGGTTTGATTCTGTATTTCGTTCCAGTATGTCATAATTTTTCGCGGTTAATGCTGTCGTAAAGTACAAAGCATACTATTCTAAAGCCACAGATAAAAACTATAATAATATTTGCCGTCATATCCACGAATATCGTATCGATGTAACGAAATAATTACATATTTTGAATAACTCATAGATTTACATGATACATGCATATACATACATGTGCGGGAAACTAATGTCAGATATTTTCAGAGAGCCTACATATTTTTATCTGTTGAAATAAGACAAGCAGTTATTGATGAGGTTACTCTTAGTATCCAGTTTCTTCATCATTGGAAGATGTACTATAATACGCAATTACTACGTTCGGTGCTAGAGAGCTTTTAGCGAGATTCATAGTTGTACACGTGTTTGTAGTGCACGGAATTAAAGAGATGAGCTCATTGAGCCGTCGGTACATTATCTCTCCTTTTAATTTAAAGGTTCACTTTAAAAGATAATTAAAAGCGAGTTAAAAAGGGAGAGAAATTACTGGAAAACTCATGCGAGTATCTCTAAATTTGTTAAAGGCCCTTGTCTGCTATTTGACGCTTTAATTAAAAGTGCAACGAAGTCACCATGTGAAAAAAGAAAAATCAACACTGTTTAATCCCGCACAGAGAGCGGAAAGCGGCCTTCAATAAAACAAAATATTACTGTAACATTTTTTCGCGCGTATTTATATAAAAGTGGCAGTGCAAATCTCTTTGTTGATGAGATTATCATTTTATTTTATTTTTTTTGACATAATTGTATCACTATATAATTGAAGGGCTCGACTCAATATTATATTAATCTACGTGGAAAACACATACCTCATCTACACTAGTCAATACATTATTGTTCCAAATCATTATTATTCTGCAAACAGTTGATTATGACTATTAAATCATACGATTGCCTTTCATGTAAAATAAAATACTATTTTTCTCGCGATCAAAAAATCTCTGTTACCTCTATTATCAAACTTTATGGAAGTATTTATCACAGTTATAGCTCCCTCGTGTCAGATCGAAACTCATTAACAAGGGGACCTTCTCTAATTAGCCGATAATGAGAATATCGTAGAGTAATTAAATGTACATATATACGCGTAGACACGTCAGACCAAATGTAAGCTTTAAATTTTAAAACTACTATAGTAAAGACTATTCTCATATGATAGATTACGCGTTAATTTTTGACTTCACATTCAGACGCGTCTCGAATGTTCGTATCTTCGATAATGCAGATTATTTCAATCAAAAGAATTCAAGAGTTCTATATGTATTATATCGTGGATGTCCGATAAACGTTAAACACACGCAATATACGTATCTCTCTTTTATAAGAACGAAGCGTTCTAAAAATAATGCGTTGCATTTATTTTGTTATATATTTTGTTTGCCAAAGAGGGTTTTATATATTTATTTTTAATACAAAAATTGCCAAATAATTTTAATAGTAATAAAGTATTGCTGAAGGTTATATTTATTCCAGAAATTTTTTGCGATTTTTTTATCTATAAATTAGTACGAAAACATCAGACATTTCTATAAGAGATTTTCTGTTATACATATATCCTCACGAAGAGTTCGAAGAGTTGAAAAAGAGTGAAATATTAAAAAATAACGTATGAGTAAGAATGATATAATGTTAGACTTGTGTGAGATATGATGTAAAAATATGATGAATGGTCAAAATCATAAATGATTTGCGAAATGGATAAATAATTCGGTAAAAAAGCGTTTATTGAACAAGTTAATGCTAATACTTATATTTTATTATAATATGTATTTTTAAATTATATAATTATGAATGTATAAAACTCCGATTAATTAATACGTTAACCATCGACTTTTTTTGATTTTTCATACAATTTACAATTTACTATTTACCCATGTGTGTTGGTTCGAGTAATTTTTTTAGTCGTATGATCTGCAAATTATATGTAGGAGATAATTATGTGAATATGTTAGCGAATGACTTTTTGTGAATATGTTAGTGAATGACTTTTGTACAATAAATATTATTTGAAACAATATTGCGTAAAATACTTGTTTTTAATTTATAATAAAAATATTTGTTTTTAAATGTAATATAAAACCTCTCAAAAAATTCTCGTGTGACGAGATTTAAACGTGAGTCGCACTAGTAAATTAATTCCAGACGTTATCCTATCTCCATTGTTATTTTTAAGGGAAGCAAAGCGACACATCAGAAAAATGTGTCTGTGCTTTTGCGATGTCAGGAGAAGATTGCCCAGAGGCTATCATTCGTTGTACAATAAAGTGCAATAGTAAAGGCGAGCGAAATGCACAGAGTTTCACAAAATCAGTGGCTCTCTCGCTAACCGGAAATTTTCGTAAAAGCTTCTATTTCAGAATATCCTTTACTGTATTGCACCCTTTATCGCATGATGATTATTGTACGTGACGAGGCTCGTTATCTTTAAACCTCTCGATTTTTAAAGAGGCACGGATCAAGTAAAAGTCTCCCACTGCGCCAAGATCCTTTCCATCCTTTCTTGAAATCTAAGATCCTAGAATTTAAGAATATTCTTACTTCCACTGCATTTAACAGTTTTACTCTTATTTAACATATTTTATGGTTTTCTATAATACATCTAGAGTCTCTTGATAATTTATATATCTATCAAGATAATCGAAGGTATTATTCATTTCAAACTATTCATTCTTTGTTATTTGCCTCGTTTCAATTTACACAATGCGACTCGACTGTTAACTGTTCTTCCATATTACACTTATTATGAAATTTTGACATTGATCGAACGTCGACGCATGGATTACGTTTATAATCACGTTAAACTGTTTGAGCGCGGAGGAAACCAGCAGCTCAAACTGTTTAATACGACCTATCAATATTATCGACTAAACGTCAATATCTCTAAACTACATATGATATGGCTATTCTTTTATACTTTCAATCTGTCATACGTTTTAGTTTTTGTTAAGAAATGTTCTTTCATCATTGATAATCGTGTGCGTGACTAAAGATTCAATGCATTTTCTCTATCTGCGAAATCTTTGTTACTTCCGTGCGATTCAGCGATTATGCTTTCTACTTCAACGTGGATATAAAGAAGAAATATGAGTATTCGTAAATAACAAAATTATAAATTATGTTGAATATACGTGCATTTTTATATTACATTTAATTATATTTAATTCTTGTTCTGTTTATTTTTCATCATTATAATTATGTTTTATTATAAAGGTTAACATTTCTTCTGTTTTTATATTACTATGAAGTTTTACCTAAAGTTTTTTCATTATAATGATAAGCATACAGCTTAAATAGCATCTAGTATCTAGTACCACTCTTTGTTTGAAGATTTTATTTATTTCTTTTAGCAAATTTTATGAATATTTTACATTTTCCGTTTGTCAAGATGACACAGGTTGCAGTAATGCTATATAGTTACTATTAGCTAACATTTTCGTAGAAATTCCT